TTGGTTCTTGATTTCATTCAAAAAGGATGTGAAGATGGGTAACAATTCAGAGCGATCTTTCATTAGATAAACCCAAGTACATCTAGAATACTCATCAATAAAGGTAACAAAGTACCTAAAACCAAAAGAAGAGACGCGACTAGTTCCCCAGACATCAGAATGAATAATAGAAAAACTAGAATTACATATTTATTGAAACTTTTTAGGAAAGACAGATCTAACATGTTTTACTAGTTGACAAGACTCACATTCTAAAGTCTCACTAAGTTCAGGACACATCTTTTTTAACTTTGACAAGTGAGGGTGGCCAAATCGGTCATGTAACACTTTAGGGGGAAGAGTTGCAACACAGGAGACCCGTGGACGAGTTCCAAAATGGTATAAACCTCCAGCTTCATATTCTTCTCCAATCTGTCTCCCTGAGCCACGCTCCTGTATAACAAAAGATTTTGAATTGAAAGTTATTGAACAATGTAACATTTTGGTTAACTGACTTAAGGAAATTAAATTGAATGGACAATTAGGGACAAAAAGAACAGATTTCAGAGTTAGAGAGGGAGACAGGGAGACTTGATCGACTCCCTTTGAACAAGTTTTAGAGCCATTTGCAAGAGTAATGAAATGGGGTTTTTCTTGGAGGGAAAGGGTTGAGAACAATGAGGTATTACCAGAGATGTGATCAGAAGCACCCAAGTCAATTACCCATGAATTTTGACCTTCCATGGATTGAGAAATGCAAGCTGTGGATGTACTTGGGGATTGAGATGATTGCGTCAAGCTGTTAGACTTTAATCGCAGATACTCTTCCTCAGTGAACTTGGAGTTGGAAGTGGGAGTTTCAGCCTTAGAGATATTGGCTGTTTTTGAAGGAAAACCATGCAAGGAGTAGTAGTTTTCTTGGGTGTGACCCATCCTCTTACAGTAAGTGCACTGTGAACGTCCCCTACCTCCACGTCCTCCTCCTCTAGTGCCCCGTCCTCCTCTTCCCCGCGTAGCAACCATGACAAATGGTTCCATTGTTTTAGGAGCTTCCTGAGATTGAGGCACTGGAACATGAAGAAGACGTGTGGTCAAGGCTTCCAAGGAAGGGACCTCATGACTTGTCAGAAGTTGATCTCTGATATGATTCAAATCAGGGTGTAAAGCACGGAGGATCATCACCATATAATACTTGTCAAGCTTCTTCTTGATGTCTTCCGAAGATTCCACTTCCAAGAACATTTTCAACTCTTCCACAGCTGCTTGGGCTTCAGTCATGAAGGAGACCATATCATGGTCTGTCATTTTGAGACATGCAAGCTTGTTTGCTGTATCATAGAGACGTTGAATATCATTAGCATAAATGCTTTGAGCTTTCTTCCTAAAAGAGTGACATGTTTTGAAGGCTCTAAGAGATATCAAAAGTCGGGGTTTCATATATTGCCACAATAGGGCACACAATTGGAAATCTGCTTGTTTCCATTGTTCAGCTTTTTCAGAAGGTACTTGGCTTCCATCCTACTCAAGGTGGTCATAATGTCTTTGACCGAGAAACCATATTTCCACGGCAGCAGACCAAGAGAGATAATTCTTTCCGTTTAGCTTTTCAGAAGTAATTGAGGGACTTCCAGAGAAAGAAAGAACACTTCCAAACGCCATTGTTGATAAAAATAGGAGAGGAACCAAAAAGGAGCCAGAAAATCGAGAGGAACTAGAAAACCCTAGGGGTTTCTTTGGGTTTTCTTCAAGGGGAGCTTCTAGACCTCACTGACGTAGGGTTTTGAGGGGCAGAGCAGAGAGAGGAGGTCCAGGCGACGACTATGGAGGTGTCGCGGTGACTTTCAGGCGACCAGAGGGCGGCGCGTGAGCTGCACGCGCCTGTTCGCAGCGCACAAAGAAGCGGCGCGTGGCGGAGCGTGGGAAAGAATCAGACGCCGGCACTGGTGGGGTTGGTCGTCGCGTGAAGAGGCGAACCAGATCTAGTGGTCGCTGGACGGAACAGTGACGGCGGACAGCGGCGGATCGCAGAGGACAGATGCGAGATGGCAGAGAACCAAGTTGAAGAGCTTCAAACTGTAGTTGACAACTGCAGACAGTGGCAAGACAACCGCGGACGGCAGCAATGGGCACCAGACAGATGCAAACAACAATGACAATGCTGGTGGACCACTTTAGGACAGAAACCAGAGTAGGTACCAACTTGAGATAAAAATATGTTCTCTTCAGGGCTTAAACACCTCTACACTTACATTTATAGAAAACAAAGTAAGTAACCACACTCCTTTCCAACTCACTCTTAGTTGGAACACACTTGAACACAACTCGTACACACATAACTCATACACAATAACCAATAATTCTAATAGACTAGAACATCACAGCTACAAAAATAGACTCCCCTTCATGCCACAGGCCAACGGGAACATCACACTTGCAAGAGAGAATCACGAAACTGTAACCAGATGGTGGAGACATGCTTGGCCACAGGTGCTGCACAAGAAAGGGAAGAAAAGGCAAGAACAACACAGCACGACGTGAGGCGAAACCCATTGATGGAGGCAGAGAGCCCTTCGCAATGGAGACGCAGTGGCATCGAATGCTAACTAGGCATCGAAAGAGCTCTCCCTGGTCATGAAACGTGAGGCGAACAGTAGCTCACAAAGCGGAACTCACGGAGAGAAGAAAAAGATGCTGTGAAGACAACGAAGATGGCAGCCATGGATGCTATGGAGGATCAGAACAGAGAGATGGAGGTCCGGCGACATGACTGGAAGTGGTGCAGTGTGATTCCGACACAGGGACGGTGGCGCGTGACGGCGCATGCGGACGAGACAGAGACGTCGACCACCATGGTTAGGTCGCGCTTGAAGAGAGGATCCAGATCCGTTGGTCACCGATCGAAACTGTGGCGGTGGCCGGGGATGATCGCACAGATTTGGTGCTTGTGACGGCGCGTGAATGAGAGGTAGCCCTCGGAACCGACGTGGTTGGTCGTCGCTTAAGGAGGTGGTCCAGATCCGCTGGTCACCCGGCGAAAGTGCAACGGTGGCCGGTGGCGGACGGTGGCCAGCGGCGTACGGAGGATGATGGTGGTCGATGGCGGAGAGCAGCGGTGCACATCGGAATAAATAGTGAAGGCAGTGGCCTTTCATGGGTTCTTCGAAGAAGAGACTTTCGGTCTCTTTGATTCAACTGGGAGTCAATAAGAATGCCAAAAGGAGCAAAGTTGATAGGGCATCAACAGATCTAAAGCACCAGTTTCAACTACTGGTTCGAAAGGGAATGGATTTGAATCCCATTCTAATCATACGCAAACAAACTCTATATTTGGTAAGATAGAACTTGACTAGGGCAATTGGAGCCCATTAAAAGCACATGTTAAAGAAGAGACTTTTAGGTGGCGGCGGCCATGGTGGCCGGCCGTCGGCAGACAGCAAGGACAGCGGAAGCGGATCAGACAAGCTCTGATACCAAGTTGAAAATAGGACTAATTTTATTATTCAGAATCATAAAAAATACATTCTAATACTCTCTATTTGTAATAATCTAATTCTCCTAAAAGGGAAACTAGGAAAGTAAAATAAAATAAAAGATTATATATCTATTTTCTCTAATTGGAAGATTCTAAAGATATTATCTCAAATTACAACAAATGTTATATAAGTTTTTGTTTTTAATATTTTTCATATCTATTTTCTCTAATTAGGGAGATTCTAAAGATATTATCTCAAATTACAACAAATGTTATATAAGCAATGTTTTTAATATTTTTCATATATTTTAGGCACTTGCTAAAGAAATTCGAGAATTCAGAAGCCCCACAGATGGTGAGACAAGGATGTTTTATGAAATAGTAGTTGCACCCAGCTACACAGAGAAGGGACTTGAGATTCTGCGTGGAAAGTCCAAAACTCTAAGGATTCTTGAAGCCAAAAAGAATGAAGCGGGAAAGCTTTCACTCAGACAGGTTGGTGGAGGTTGGTTGGCTCAGGATTCAGATGACTTAACCCCACAAGACATCAAGTTCAACGTGGTCTCTGGGAAAGCTCCACAAGATGATGAACTTCGTGATGCAGAGTTTGCATGGTTGTGTGTGAAGCATGTCAAAAGCAATGCCATCGTGATAGCTAAGGTTCTTATCTCTCATACCATGAAACTTTTCTCTGCCTTATGTAATAGGTTCAAGAAACTGATCCCTTTTGTTATATAATCTTCTGCAGAACAACTGTATGCTAGGTATGGGAAGTGGGCAACCAAACCGTGTGGAGAGTTTGAGAATAGCAATGAGGAAAGCCGGAGATGATGTTAAAGGAGCAACCTTGGCCAGTGATGCCTTCTTCCCATTTGGTAAGTCTTATTTTCATATAAATGCAATACCAACATTCTTACTTAGTATCTTTCTTTTCATGTTCATGCAACTGAATCTTGTGCTGGAGGATTTTCCTCTATTGTGAGAAGCTGAGCTACCTTTTTTGCTGGATAAACATAAACATCATTATGATGAGATTTTCAGTTAACATCAAACCATCACAAGACAATGGTAAATTGTTAAAGAATGAAAAAAACTCACCCCAGTGACAGAAGAGTCCTTGCTATGTGAAAGTAAATTAGTTTAGAGTATAAGTTTCTTTTTCTTTTTGATAATTCTGTTAACATGGATGCATCTTAATCTATGAACAGCTTGGAAAGATGCTGTGGAAGAAGCATGTGAAAGTGGAATTGGTGTTATAGCAGAACCAGGTGGGAGTATCAGGGACCAGGATGCCATAGACTGTTGTAACAAGTATGGTGTTTCACTACTCTTTACCAATGTCAGGCACTTTAGGCACTGACTGAATTTTGCCTTTCTACTTCAACTTTTTGTTTCTGTTATCCAACCGGTGTTGCTCAAACTTGTGCTTCCAGTAGGTAGCACTGAAACCTGTTTCTGAAATCAACTGAATGTATGAGTAAGGATTGTTCCATCCAATTTACATAGAAAAAATAAATTGATATTCTCCTACATTTCAATATCTTGTAGCTTATCCATAAAATAATTTAGCTTTCTCTTAAAGTGTTTATAGAGAAGTTTGTTGAAATAAACTCATTGTGTGGATAGGTTTGAATAACAAACCACTCAATTATACTAAGATTGAGAGGACTAACCAACAACAGTAATGGAGACCAATTTTAAAATTTAAATTTTTAATAAAATATGTATAGTAGTGTTCTTTTAATATTTCAAAACATATTCCATATTTATATCTATATATAAGACAAGTGAACAGTAACCTCTTTTGTTTAATATTACAAATATTAATAATGAAATTTTCATGTCACCAGTAATATTATCCATACTATTGTTTTCTTATGTATTGATTTGGAAAGATTCGCAGTAGATAGATATTCGTCTCCATAACTACCATTACCAAATTCATCACCTTTAGCTCATGAGAAAGAGTTGCAATGAGAGAAAGAGTTGTTGGGAAGAGAGGAGATTCTAACCCATTATTTGATGTTTGTTCTGAAAGGTATTTTACATTTTTTTTAAAGGGGCGAAATTAATACATTTTCGGGTTAAATATGTTTATAGTCCCTAAATTATTGGCCGTTTCTGGTTTTCGTCCCTCTTTCAAAGTAAGGTACAATTTGGTCCTCTTTCTTTTCGAAACTTTGGTTTTAGTCCTCAAAAACTAACACCGTTAAAAATTAGCTGACGTGGCTAACGGGAGACTGACACAATTTTTTTTTTGTCAGAGTTTATCAGCTTTTCTCCAGTGTCACCTCTCTGTCTTCAACTTCTCTTTCTCTCTCATTCCTCCAAACCCATTCCAATTCTCACTCTCATGGGTTGTTACCTCTCCGTCATTCCTTGTGCCCTCTTCTACTTTCTTCAACTCTGAGGGGGCGCGGCCCCGGTTACCGATACTTCGGCGCGGCGAAGAAGCTTCCCGGCGTCAAGTACTTTTTCCAGTACGAAACCACTAATACTCTGCATCCCCTAAAATGAATTGTTCTATATGTATAATGCTGAATTAATACGCATGCAATTGAGCTGTGTGATCAACAAAACCAAACACACGAAATCAAATATAGATGATCAATTACGCGATCCTAATTTACAAATTGAAAACACCTAAGTGTAAAAAAACTAAAAAAGCATCCAATTCAATAGTAGCACTAGCAGCACGGAGTGGAAAACATCAAACAGTAACTGCTTAGGTCTCCGTTACATAGAACAGAGAGTGATCGATCAATCACTTATCATTTTCAATTTGAATTTGGAGTACCTGAAGAAGAGATGCGAGAAGTGGAAGAATCGATGGTGACGAACTTGTCCGAGCTGGATTTGGAGTCGTCGTCATCCGCGGCGGCGAACTCGGACGGTCGGGAGAAGGATCGGACTCTGACCGGCGGCGGCGGCGGGACCATGGGGAAGAAGAACTTCTCGTAGTCGAAGTTTCCGAGGTCGGTGTTCTCGATGATGTCTTCTCGGAGCGCGGACTCCGCCTCCGACAAGCCATTCTTCCGCAGAAACTCTAACACTGCTTCGACGCCGTTGGACACAGCCATGGACACGACACGACCAATTCAGAAACCTTATTATTATTGTTGTTGATGATGATAATGTCTGAGTAGGGCAGTGACATGTGAATTAAGAAAGACGGAAGGGACATAAGCGTAATAAAATGCATGGTTTATGATGTGAAAGATGAAGTTGGGTGGAAGATGGAAGGAAGAGAGAGAAGGGGAGAAAATGTGAGAAACACTCCAAAAAAAAATCGTGTGTCAGTCTACCGTTAGCCACGTCAGCTAATTTTTAACGGTGTTAGTTTTAGAGGACTAAAACCAAAGTTTCGAAAAGAATGAGGACCAAATTGTACCTTACTTTGAAAGAGGGACGAAAACCAGAAACGGCCAATAGTTTAGGGACTAAAAACATATTTAACCCTACATTTTCTGAAACACTGACAAATACCGTTTAAAAAGAAAAAAAAATATTTAACCTTTTTATTCTACAACATTTCATAATAAGATTTACTATTTAAGAATAATTCAGAATAGTTTAAAATCAATTCCACTTTTTTTTTTGGTAAGTGCATTTTTTTAGTCGCTTTAAAGGCTTTATCCATAATTTGTTTTTCTTTTGAATTACCCGTTTTGAAAATATTTATTATTATCTTAATAAAAGTATTAAAATAATAGTTATAAATTACAGAAATGATGCCCTTATAGCAACTATGACAAATATTTAAGAAGGGAAATGCACAAAAAGATTAGCATTCAAGAAAATTGTAATTGTAAACTGATAACCTGTGTTGTATAAACTATAATCAATTTGTTTGAATTTGATCTTGATTGTGAATTTTCTGTGCTTGTGAAATAAATGATGCTATTTGATTAAGGGGTGTTACTCCCTCCACCACCACAACTTGCTTCCTCCACCACCCCATTCCCCTTTTACCCTTTTCTTTATTTTTTAATTCCTATTTTACCCTTATTAAAATTTTAGGGTTAATATTATTTAAAATCTCACGTACATTCATTCTCTTTATCATTCTTCCCTCTTTCTCTTTATTATTTTTCCCAGGTTGTCTCTTACGTTCCACTATCTTTGGGTTGTCTTTCATGTTCCACTTCTTCTTCTCTTTTATAGAATTGTGACATGAGAGTGTGGTGGACTTTGTGTTTAGTAAGATTGAAAGTGGGGAAAGCAATTCATCTTCAGCCGTGACTATGGTGGTGCTTCAAGGTGATGGTTCAAAGGCGTGAGAGGGCGTGAATGTGCGTAATAAAACCCTAAAATATAAACCGTATAATCTTTAAACGAATGTGAGCATTCGTCAACGGATGTCAACATCCGTTTAAGGGAAAAAAGACATCCGTTTTCCCTTAAACGGATGTTGACATCCGTTTTCCCTTAAACGGATGTTGACATCCGTTTTCCCTTAAACGGATGTTGACATCCGTTTTCCCTTAAACGCATGTTGACATCCGTTTTCCTTAAACGGATGCTCACATCCGTTTAAAGATTACGGTTTATATTTTACAGTTTTTTATATTAATTTTGAAGATATTTAAATAATATAATTTATATTTTTTGATATATTATTTTTGAATATATTTTGATGTATTTTAATAATGTATTTTTGAGGATCTTTATTCTTATTAGTATATATTTAGATTTTTTTTTTTATTTTGCACGTTATATATAGTTAGGGTTTTTGTATAATATATATTTTTATATATGACTTTTTGTATTCTTTAATAATTTTATAATTATATAAAAAGTTATTTATTAGTTTAATTATAAAAGTAAATAATTAGGATTAAAAAGGAAAAAAGTTATTTTTGTAATTATAAAAGGTTAGTTTGGTAATTCAAAAAATATGTAATAGAATTGGGGAGGTGGAGGGAGAAAATGTGGTGGTGGAGGGAATAACACCCTTGATTAAGATGTTGGGAAGAAAAGGTCAAACTTGGTTGTAAGTTAATTTTTAGTCTAAAATGGGGTCTCAGGTGAATTTCAAAAATAATGGTTTAAATGGAGATATGGTAATTTAGAACTATTATGTAGCTATTTGAAACTTGTTTGAGTGGTGAATTTGTAGAGAATTGGTTTAGGAGTGTATAGTAGAGAATATGTGGTGTCTTGAAATGAATTTTGGTGCATTTTAGGAGTTTTAAAGAGTGAGATTTTGATTTAGAAGGTTTCAGGTAGGTTTAAGTGTTTGAAGTCTATCTTTAAGTTATTTGTGACTTGTTCAAACCTCTAATTGACTTAGTTATAAGTTAAAACTTGTAGAATTAATTTATGATCAATAGAGTAGAGTTTTAGTTGTTTTTGAGTTGGAAATTCATGACATAATGAGTTTAAACTAAGTTTAGGTTGTATTACATACTCTTGGATAGGTCATTGGTGGTTTAGAACACAAAATGAAAGTAGTAGAGGTTAGTAAGAGCACCTAAGATAGGTCAAGTTAGCATGAAGGATGCAATTTTTGTAGAATTGGTGTTCAGCAGAATTATGCAGAGTGGTTGGTTGGGTGAGTTAATGGCTCGTTGGACGAGTAAGTGAATATTTTGACAATGGATTTCAATGGTTGGACGAGCCAGCTTGTTAGGTTGGTGGATCTCACAATCTCTACTTTCCTGAGTAACTGAAGGTAGCTCGTTGGACTAGTTTTGGAGGTTTTGGACAGTGAGTTTCAAGGGTTAGGCGAGTAGTTTGTGCTTGCTGGGTGTGCTTGTGTTTATTGGATGTCATATTTTTTTCCACCGGATGAGTAGGCTCGAGTTGCTTTGGTTATTTTATTTTCCCTTCTCTTTTATGCTTGGTTTTAGATGGTGAAATGCTATATTTAATATTCAATAATGTGATTTTGAATGAATTGATAATATAAAAATTATGATTCAACTCAGGAATAGTTTGGAAAGAATTTCTTGAATGAAATTCTTAATAGTAATTTCAAATAAGTGATGAATTAATATATTCTAACACTTCAATAATTGCATCATCTCATAGAGAAGATGATTATGTGATGAAGTTCTTTATTCATAGATATTAAATAACTTTCTGTGTAGCTTGAGGAGTAAATGTCTCACCTCTAAAGGCAAAACTTGTCAGATTCTGTAATAAAATCTTTACAATAATTTTTTTTTATTATTAACCTACTTTTTTTTTTGGTATTGAACTTGTGGTATTTCCTAATATATTAGACTATTTAATTGAATGTTACAAATCTCACATTCTAAAATATGATAACTAATCAAAATTTTTTGAAAAATACATCTACCTTTTAACTTAAAAATGATAAAAAAGTTATCCAAACAAAACTACGACTTTAAACTTTTTTTTTCGATTAACTTCACACCAACACCAATTTCATCAGACAATTCTTGCATTTTCATTTTTAATCATACTTATTAGAAAATAATATTTCCATGAATGATATACAATTAGATAATGGTTTCAAAAAACTTCTTCAAATTGATTTAATTTCTTTCCACAATATAAAATGAAAATGAGATCAGTGTCCGGTGCTACAAAATTAAAATAGACCGTATTGGCAAATGCATAGTTAGACGATATATGATGAACAATCAAGAATTATAGCCATGTAATCAGTTCAATCTACCATCTTCATTTCATGAGTAAAAAAACAAAAAAAAAAGGAAGAATATCCAAATGAAAAATCAAAAGAAAAAAAAGGTGACGATGTGATCTAATAAAAGACTGAAAGCAAGAACATCGTAAACATTAAGCACGTCCAATAAATAGAAAGACACTCAGTCTAAAATCAAAATTTGCGCATAATCTGTTATCATCACATCTCTCTAACAAAAACCCAAAATCTTAATAGTGCTTATGGAAGCAGACTAGCTCTCAATGGCAGTTTACAGATCAAGGTGCAACCACAATACGTCCAGCAACTTGATCAAGATCCCGCCTGCCACTGGAAGTGATTCTCCTGCCACTGAAACAAAAGGTGAACCAATGTTATCACATGAATAAAGATGCTCAGATTCTTATGCAGAAAGAATAAACAAGAATAGCACCAACAATTGCCAAAAACAAGCTATGCAACATAACTCATAAATTCCAAAGATAAGATCCTTAACATTGTAGTGTACCTAATTTAAAATATAGGAGGCTACCAAATTAGAGAAGAGCTTACCCCTTGGTGTCAAGTTCGATTATGTTCATGGTTTGCAACTGCTGAAGAATGTGACGGGCAATGGCACCACTGCTCTTGCAGAAATGAGGAGGACGGCTACCGTTCCTCTTGCTCCCGCCATAAATCCTCTGAAATGCACCAACACCAAGTCCTCCTCTCAAGTAGATCTTTCTTGCCATGGAAGCTGACATTGTTCAATATTTGAATTAAACACACAACACAACTCACTACCATCTCATTGAATTTTCACTAACAAAGTGCTATTGGCCAGAACATGCTTTAGGAAAACACAATCAACACAAAAAGGAAACTCACCAGCTCTAACATAGTACCAGTCAGGATCATAGGGAGCCAACTCCTTAAATCTTGCTGTTTTGACAATATCAGTCCACTCAGGCAGCTCCATCTGGTTAGAACAAAAAAAAAGAATTTAAATCAACGTATCAATAACAGGATATTTTAAATGACATTACGGACATAAGCCCCGCATTGTTCAGAGAACTAGTCACAATTAAACAAACCCAAAACACAAGGAGCATCATTACAACATATGAAAGACTTTTCTAGAACTAGGTCAATACAGTGCTAAAAGAAGGAGACCAAGCCCAAATGACAAACAAATGCTTCCTTCTGAATCACTTACACAATCCATCATCTATCTCCTATTCCACAACTAATACATTTGTTTAAATATTCAAACGCTCACTTATGATCAAACTCAACACTGAAAAACCCGATTCAAACACACGCAACCTTATACAGAAAACAATTAACACAAAAACATGGGCATGGCCACTTAAGAAAAACATCACAAAAAAATAGACAAAATCAACAATACTCCTATAATCCACTATAAAAGTAAAATCAAAATGAATCAGAAGCAGTTCACACAGCTTAAAACAATCAAAACTGAAAAATGGCTTTGCATTAAACTCATAATCTCAAATTTGAGACCCGTTTTTGATTGAAAAATGACAGAAAGAATGACCTTGCCAGATCGCTTAAGATGAGAAGAGTACGCCTTGACGAACTCGTGGGGAGAAACGTCCTTCACAGTCCTTGCAGTGGCCATGGCGGCTTCTGGTTGTGGTTGATGCACAGACACAGAGAACAAAGGTGGCCCTAGATTATGCCGCGCTCTCTATCTATCAGAATATCTCACAACACAAAAAAAATAGGGTTTGTGACTCAAATATTAGGGTTTTGGTTGAAACTTTTGATGCGGCCCAATGAATATTGGGCCCGGACTCTGCAAATAGGTTAAAGCCCATAGTGTATTACTTTATTTTCTGTTTAAGAAATTATTAAAAGTTTATGCATTGAATGTTTGTGATTTTTTTTTCGAATAAGATAATCTTATAAAGCTAAAAAAGGTTACAGAATTTTTTTACATATGTTTATGGCTTCCAATTTTAGATATAAAATTTAAATTTATATATCAAATTTTAATACATTTTTATTTTTAAATAAGTAAATATAATGTTTTATTAAAAATTTTACATATTAATAAATGTTTTATTAAAAATTTTACATATTAAATAATGTTTTATATTCACATTAAAAAATATTTTAAAGGTTAATCAAAATCAACTAAAAATATATTAATTGGAAACAAATAAAAATAAATTAACACAAAAGTTAAAAAGTTATATTTATTTAGTTTTAAAATTTTAAGATTAAATTGTATCAAATTTGAGATAATAACAAGTTTTCTCAAAATTTTGAATAAAAATGTTTAATTTTTTAAAAACAAAATAATACATAATCACACAAAAAAAAATTAAAAATTTGTAATTCTTTTAATATAAATTAATAGCATAGATTACAGAGATGGATTTTATAACTAAGTTTAAATTTCAAATTAAATAAACTACACAATTCTTCAAAAATCAGAAATTTAAACCTTCACCGAGTTGAACACTTAAACTTGAAAATGAGAAGAAGAACGTCCCACCAACTATCGTTAGGGTTCGGAAGCGTCTTCAATCTTCATGTCGATTTTGCGTCAATGCGTTTTCCCTATCAAGTATCTATCTTTTCTCTTTATGTAGAGTGGTTATTACCACCATTTGCATGCATTTGCATACATTGCTTCTGTTTCTTATTTCTTATAAAACTAAATTAATTATTATCGCTCCCCCCAATCGTTGCTATTTTCTGTTGTCGTTTTATGTACAGCGTAAACCCTCATTTTCTGTTTCTTCCACTTCTATGTTGTGTAACTGGAACAAAATGTAGCGTAGATTTTTGTTTTTACAAAAGGAAATCTTTTTTTTTTGGAGGGAACTTTATAGGGTTGATATTGTTTCTCTTATTTTATAGGAGACAGGGGCATTCTGTGGAGGTTTCAGGATTACTGTTATGTGGGATGAAACATGACACTGAGAGGTATCTCAGTCCTAACAATGTTTGTGGCTGTTATCCTGCATTGTCAGGTGCAAAAAATGTTTTTTTAAGAGAGAAAAGTTACCGTACTTCACCCGTTATTGGAAAGTTCTTTATGGGTAGTCGCCATTTGTCTTCTTTGGTCAATGAGAAAAGTTGGTATGAGAATATTTTGAAAGAAACAGTTTTGGAACTTGAGAAATCCCTTTCAGCTAAGGCCAGTGGGGAAATTAATTTGGAGGAAGAAGTTGATCAGGAATTTGAGCTAGAACCTAGACGTTTGGATGATCCTATGTCGGAATATGCAAATGATCTTTACCTTGGCTGTCGTGAGCCTTTGAAGAGGAAGACTTCTTTGGAGTTGTTAAGAACCGTTATGAACAGTCCAGCCCCCTACCTTCCTGGTATTCTGAAAAGATTTGCTAAAGCAGTGGAGGATTTGAGCCATTTAGAGGCTCCAAAGATTGTATTTATTCTCTGGAAGCATCATATGTATTACAAGGCTTTGAAGGTGCTTTCTGCAGTTTCTCTTAAATTGCTTAGCCAAGTTTTTTGCAAAATTTATGGGTTGTTTCATTTTGGTAATACTGATGCTAGTCTCTCAAGGGCATTGTTCTTCTACACTTCTTTTAATATGTTTTTTAAATCCAATGACGCATGTATTTGTATAATTTTAGTTATAAACTTTTTGAAATGCCAAGTATCCTCTTGGTGTTCAAATATGCTTAAATACCAGATTCTTTGCTTGTTTATCTCCATGTTGAGGTCCAAGAGACCAGCTGGTATTATGGCCAGTGAAGCTGCATTTTCTATTTTATACACTGTACTGGATTTAATTCCATACATGCCTTTGCCAAATAGCATGAGTTTTTGAAAGAATTGGTTCGTGACTTGATATTGGAGCCTCTATGAGTAGCTGTTCAGGAAATCCCTGTTGTCAACTATAGGTTGATTTTTAGCACAAGACAGGGTTTGTTGCATCAAGCCCAAATGCCTTTTCTTTTAAAGGGATGTGTTAAGTGCCATGGAACAGTTCATTTGCTTTCACCAACAACTCAAAGCTTTTCAGATAGTTGGTTTATAACATGTTATGCTCACATTTTTCATGTATTAAACTGATTTCATTTGTCACATCCATATAAATTGGTAGCTTTTAGGTTCTGTTTGGTGTAAAGAATTATGATAACTATAATCTGATATTTGTTGTGTCAACATGGTTTGATAATGTTATCTTGTCGTGTATCCTATCCTGTCACTGTAGTGTAGTTCTTGTCGCAAAGTGAACTGAGTTAGGTTTCTCTCCCTGCTGTAGTGTATCCTATCCTGTCACTGTAGTGAAGTAACAGCATATGCATATGATAAGTTTCTCTCCCTGCTGTTTTCTTTATATATATAATATTCACCCATGCATTTCGATTATAATAGTATTTAGAATATCTTTTTCCTAATTATTCAAATAATTTTTAAAGAAAAATATTTGTATCTTAACATTAATTTTACAAAACTTATATAATTTTTTTATAATTTTAAGAAAGTGTAAGTACATTTTGTTTTTGTTGATATTAATTTATATGATAATATAAATAATAGTTTTTCTATTTAACATATTATCTTATATGCATTTATATTTATAATTATTGTGTCACATAGATTTAATTTATATTATTTATTAGGATATGGAATTAAATACTAATTATTTAAATATTTTTTAATATATAACTTATAATTTAAAAAACTTATTGTTTTTTATAATATAAAAAATAGTTATATAAATAAAAATTGAAATTGTATAATTTAGTTAAATTCTTTTAATAGTTTTCATAATTTATAAAAAAACTCAAACTAAGTCAATTTTTATAACATTATGTATTCAATAATAAATTGAAATTTAAACATAATTAATGTTATATCCTAACATTATTTAGGTTGTTATACTATGCATCAAACACTTGATTTGATTATATATTATTCTATAATATTCTAATCTTAGCATATTATATTCTCTCATCCTTTCATATATGTCCACTAGGCGAGCCCTTAGTTATGAATAATTATTTGCGCAATAAAAGAAGAAATCAATTTACTTGTAAAAGGGATAAGAGTGAAATTTGTATGTATGATTCAATGCATTTAGAATGTTATTGTGATAAATAAAATCTGCAGGATTAGTATTGTCTCTTACGTTTTTAGCGTGCATTAAATTATTAAACACGTTAAGAGGCTGAAAATGTTTTCTTTCCGCTGTTATCTGTTTTGCAGATTTTGGAATGGTTGGAGACCACGAAACAATTTGAGCATAGTGAAAATGCCTATGCCTCTCATCTCGATTTAATAGCCAAGGTCCAGGGAGTTGATGTGGCAGAGAAGTACATGAAGAATGATGTGCCAGACTCTTTCAAAGGTGAATTACTGTACAGAACTCTTCTAGTAAACTGTGTCCGCTCTGGCAACATGGACAAATCAGTGACCGTTTTTGAAAAAATGAGAAGTTTAGGTTTGCCGATTACTATCTATACTTTGAATCAGATGATCATTTTGTACAAGAAGTATGACAGAAGAAAGATACTCGGCATATTATCATTTATGAAGAACGAAAATTTAACTCCATCTTATCTTACATACAGGATTCTGATAGCCACCAAGGGTGAAACTGGGGACATAATAGGGATGGAACAATTGGTTGACGATATGAAATCTCATGGTTTGCAACCTGATATTCATTTCCTGACAGACTTGGCCAGATTCTATATTTCTGAGGGATGTAAAGATAAAGCCATCTCTATACTGAAAGAAATAGAAAGAGGAAACTCACATGAATATATTAGAGCACACACTAAACTGTTCTCTCTCTACGCCTCTCTTGACATGACTAGTGATGTAAGCAGAATATGGAACCATTGCAAGTCAGACCCCACAATGATGGAGTGTGAAGCAGCAATAGGAGCATGGGGCAAACTGGGCAAAGTTGAGGAAGCAGAAGCAGTATTTGAAATGGCGATGCAAAAATTTAAGGGCCCCTCATCCAGGCACTGTTCTGAACTTGTAAGAGTTTATGCTCTGAATGACCAGATATCGAAAGGTAAGGACTTTATCGAGCGAATGAGGCATTCGAGATGTTGGTCTGGTCCACTGGTTTGGGATGGACTTGTGAGATTCTATGTTAAAGCTGGTGATGTGGATAAGGCAGCTTCGATTTTAAGTAAGGCTGCCGAAAGGCAATGTGGGGGTGCGGTGAAGCCATTATTCAGCTCTTACATGGTTGTGATGGAACAGTATGCAAATTGTGGAGATGTACATAATACTGAGAAATGGTTCCATAAAATGAGGCAGTGTGGATACACTGGTCGGCTTAGGCAATTTCAGATTCTGATTCAGGCTTATTTGAAGGCCAAAATCCCTGTTTATGGGATCAGAGAAAGAATGAAGGCTGAAAATGTTTTCCCAAATAAAGAATTTAGCATGCAGTTGACAGAAATTGATGCACTGAAGAGTGTTTACGTAATAGATCCCTAGTATGTTGAAGTTATGAGATAGGTGCTCCATTAATTGCATTTTAACAAGAAACCAATTATATATTCAACAAGGGAAATATTATATTATATTCTGGCTAAGATTGTCACATGCTGCTATTCTGCCACAACTCGCCGTTTAACAGAGTATTCCATTCTTGTGCAGTGTAACCAGTTAAAAATGGGCTTATTTCTAGTTACATTTTTTTGTTCTCAGAGGAGAGGGGGGGCACTTTATCTCTTATGTTTAAATAAACATAGTTAATGACGGTAACGTGCAC